GACTGGGGGCCAGAGGGTCCAGCTCACCTGTGCCACTCCAGGCATGCTGAGCAGCCCCAGCAGAGTGCAGGCTCCCCCTTCACTGCCAGGGCACACCCAAGAGGCATCCAGTGACTTATGTGTCCTCAACTCCTGATCCTGCTGAAGGCTCATCATCGCCATCAGTAACCAGGAACACAGACTGGCTGACTTCACGCCCAGGTTTACTGAGGCTCAAGCACAGCCTAGCCTGGCCCCATCCTCCAACATGGAAGCACCCAAAGCCTCCCCCAGCCCACTGGTGGACAGTCCCAGAAGCTCATTCAGCCTTGCTCCCTTAACTCGTGACTGGCCCCCACACAGGACACAGCCTTGTCTATACTTGTTGCCTCTAAATGTGTCAGAGATTCCAAGCTGGTTCCCCTATGAGGCCTCCTGTAGGGTAAAGTTTCAGAATTTTCTGCCAGTATTTCCCAGGAATACCTCTGAGCATCTAAGTCCTGCACAAAACCTCTCCATCCTCAGTCATGCTTCTGGGGGCAGAAGGGGTAGACTTGCAGGACTCAGCAGGGACAGCTGCCGCGTGGCCACCAAGGACCTGGCTGCAGCTGGCCCTTTGAGCTGCCTCTCAGTGGGCTCCAGGATCCAGTTCCCTTAGGCAGAAGTACACAGGGCTGATGGCCCTGACCTCTGGCCTGTCATCAGTTCTCAAACTAGACTCGGGCCTCCAATAGTCTTGCTGGACTCAAAAGAGCAAATCCTCTGGCCAAAAAGCTGGATTGCTCAGAACTCATTTTCTGCAGGCCCCCACAGCCAGAGACCCTCCAGGCAGTCAGACCCCTGGGTTGCAGGACATCACCCACTTCAGGCCAGCTGGCAGCCTTGGTCCACCAGCAAGCATGGATTTCTGTCCCAGAGACCCCAGAAAGGCCAGGCCAAACCCCACGGCCTAAGTGACTTTGTATTTAGGGGAAATAAAGGAAATAGGAAAATAAATAAATAAATAAAGTCAGTAGGAGCCAGGGTGGCCGAGGGGAGGCCTTTGGTGAGACCCAGGGTGCAGGAGCTGGGTTCTGGCCAAAGTCTATAGCGGGCTGACTGGCCAGCTAGAGAAGCAGGGTACACGCTCGTGTCTGTGGCCATGATTTACTGGCGCTGCACTTGACCTGCGTCTCCCAACCTAGACTGCGTGGCCCACATAGCTGCTTCTTCCTGCAATAACAAGACTGACATCACTGTTGTCAGGGAAATGGTGTTTTGATTAAAATCATGTGACAGCTACTTCGTGATTCAATAAACAAATCCCCTGTTAACCCTCGCCTGACACAGGCTGCCTGCAGCTCTGCTGTCAGACCACAATATGCAGAGGGGTCAGGCGGGAAGGTGTACCTAGAGGCCTACAAATCAAGCACACAGCCAGCTCTGTGGACTCCAGGAGAATCTCAGGCACCAAGGGGGTGCCCCTCTCCAGGAAGAACTGCCTCTCAGCCCTCGGGCCATCCTCTCTTGGACCCAGCCACAGACCCAGTCCTGGGGTGTTAAAGGCCCCACTTCCCCCAGATAACCCAAAAATTGAGCACAGTCTGCAGGCTCTCCACAGTGGGCAGGCCCACTCAGACTCCTCGGGGAGCTTGCAGTGCACAGACAGTGAGGGGTTAAGAACAATTTCTGGCTTGCAATTGGATGACTTCCTGGATCACTCACTTGGCTGCTGGCCCCTGACACGCAGGGTTCTGCCTGGCAACAGCCAATTCCTTTTCCATCTCACCCCTCGGGTCATTTTCCTTAAGTGAAACAAACCCAGGGAACACTCCCCAAGTCTGGCACAGGGGATTTTTCTGGGTGAAAAAGGATGGCAGCCTTGGAGGCCTAGCATGGGGTGCCTCAAGTGGAGACAGGGCAGAAGTGGGGGGAAGTTCCTGGAATGGTGCCACCAGCACCTCCCCCAAGCCTTGCTGTGAGGATTCCATGAGACCTGGCCCAGTGCTTGACAAGGTGCTGTGGGTATCAGGCCTCGAGCAGTCACAGCAGTGCTGGCTTAGAGCCATGCCAAGCCAGCCGGCCTCAGGACTGACTCTGACTGGCATGCTCTCGTATCAAGTGCACAGCACACATTTACTGCAAAAGCAGCTGCCCCCCAACCCTCCCCCCAAGTGTAGTGACAACATAACTTTTGTTCCCAAGAAGATCTGTGATTTAGGCCTAAAAAAAAAATGTGCAACGGTTATTCCTACTCCTTCAGCCAAGGACTCCTCCCCAAAGCCAAGTTCTAGGAAGGAGATTGAAGATCACAAAGGGCTGAACCCTTTAGACATCTGCTGGATGGGGAGGGTCTGCCTGACAGCTACTGAAAGGGTAGCCAGGGCTGCCCAAACCAGTGCCTCCTGGCCAGAAGGCCTTTTTCACCCAGAACTGAGTCCTGTTAAGACAGGCAGAACATTGGAGGTTGGATTCAGGGCCTGGGAAACCAGAAAACCTGTTTTCATGAAAAGCCGGAGTGAGTTAAAAGGCTAACTTAATGTTACACTTTTTGCTACAAGCAAACCTACCAGAGGTGATGTGAGAATGCTAAATTCCTGCAGTCAACTCCAGGCGGCTTGACCTCAGCCTGAAGTGGCCAGGCCAGGGGCACTCCTGCCTTGAGTCATGCAGGGTTTTCATACCACCATGACCTGGGGACAGCAGCAGGCACCGGCTTTCATTGCTGGACTGAATCTCCTGCACACCCCTTCTCCATGCACAATGGCATCCAATGGGACTTGGAAAGCAGACTGCTACCCAGCAAACTCGACAACAGGGACTTTCTTTTGAATGAAAACGCTGAGGGCTGGTCTGAAGCCAACACCTCTATCCCCCTCTATCCCGGGAGAAATGTGGGGGTAGCCCATTCCTCAGGACAGCGCTAACTGCGACTGCACAGGCAGGGCCCCTGTAACAACAGCCTGGATCTCGAGCCAGCCTCCACAAGACAAAGGAAGTGAAAGCGGACCATAGGCTTCAATCACACTCTGCTGGCATCTGAAGGCAGCCTCCAAAGCCCTTGGCACTGGGCTCCTGGGGCACTTACCTTCCTGGTGTCCTCGCCGGGCCCTCTGGGCTGCAGGAAGCGGTTCTTGTCAGCCCCCGGGGTGCTGAGCTCTTCCTTGTCCTTCACGGCATATTCTAGCTTCATCAACCTTTGCGCCACCACTAGGGATATAGATGGCAGCGCTATGAGCATCCCTCACCAGGCCCTGCCCCTCCCAAACCCACTGAGCCTCCAGGTCGCCATGCATGCCCTCTGTCATCCCGCATAATGCAGGGGCCACCTCAGAGCAACGGGCTCCAGGGCAGGAAAGCCTGACACCCCAGAACCTCACTGAAGGTGGCTTCTCCTTAGGAGCCCTGGAAAAGGCTGCCCCACTTGCCCTTGTTCCCAAATCACGAAGGCCTTCAGACCCCTGTCCAGCCAGGCAACCATCCAGCTCCTTGCAAAACTGACACCATCAGCTTCAGAGTACTCAGGAGAAAAGACAGAACTTGGCTTTTGTGGTCCATGAGTAATTAAATGTTCTTCATTCTCCAGATTTCCAGTGCAACTCAACATTATGTAATTTCCTGGAAACGGTCGGCTGGTAGAGGCACACAGGGAATAGTTAGACTATTCCAGAAATGTTCAAAAGACTGGCGCCATACAAGAGGAAAGAGCAGTAAGGGAAGGAAAGGGGGCTACTGGAAAAGCAGCTGAAGGGCAGCGATTCTGTCACATCAGAAGCAGTCACTTCCCCCGTTGAAGCAGGCATGCTAGAGGACTTCTCCCTAGTATCACATCTCATGAGTGGACAGACAGGTAGCTTTGACATGACAAAAGAAAAAAAAAAATAAAAAGGAAACATGGGGGGGGGGGCAGCACAGTGGCTCAACTGGCTAATCCTCTAAGCACCGGCACCACATATGGGTGCCAGTTTGTGTCCCAGTTGTTCCATTTCCCATCCAGTTGCCTGCTTACGCCCCACGAAAGCAGAGGAAGTTGGATGCGCCAAAGCCTTGGGACACTGCACCTGAATAGGAGACCCAGAGGAGGCTCCTGGCCATTTAGGGAATGAACCAGCAGATCAAAGATCTTTATCTCTCCTTCTCTCTTCCTCTTCTCTGCAAATCTGTCTTTACAATGAAAATAAATACATTTAAAAAGAAGAACAAGGAAGAAGAAAAAAAGAAAAGGAAATACATCAGAGAAATTTAAAAGAATGGCATGATCAGACAGGTACCTAACCTGCTGGGCCAGTGACCTGCACCAAGGGCAGATGCAAACAATGTGATTTTACAGGGGAGTACCAGACTATCAGCTCAGTGACAACACAGCAGTTAATTAAAAAAAAAAAAAAAAAGAAAAGAAAAAACTGCCACAAGAAAGCACTGCCAGCGCTTAGTCACTGGACCATGCCTGTTTCCCCTGGAGGGTATGCAAGCATCTCAGAGCTTCAACAAGGCAGCTCAAACGTCAAGCGCGGCCTCCACTGTCAGTGAAGGGCCCTGGGCCGCACACCACAGGGGCAGCTGTATGAGCAGAGCTGCCTGTTATGTCAACAAGGCCTCATCAGAAAGCCCAGAATACCCTCACTCTTATGCAACATGAAGCACCTTCAGGTTCACATCTCCCTGGTGGCACACAGGGAGAAAAGTGTGGTCTCCTGACCCTGAGGGCTAAGCCCCACGGAGAGTGCAGAAAGACACACGAAGGTGAATTCCACTACTGAAGCGACGTTTTTATTGGCAAAACTTGTGTTTGTGTCTTTGCTTCACTCCTCTGACCGATTAAACCAACTGGTGTGAACTGCCTGGGATGAGAAACAACAGTGACGCACGTTTGGGAGAGTGAGACAAATCCAAACAAAACTGTTGCCTAGGTCGGTGGCTTGGAGCGCAGCCGCACAGGAGCAGAAAACTAATCTTGCCAGTGTGAGAACTGAGATACAGCCCGGCATCTTGGATGATGTGGGTTCATACATGCAACACATTAAGAGGTCAGACTTGAGAAATGCATTCATTGAACATTTTTATTGAGCACCTATTATGTATACCAGGCATGGATCCCAATGCTGGTGACCCAGCAGACAACAAAACAGACCCAAATTCCAACCCTCACAGAGCTCTAGTCTCATGAAAGCAAGACAGGAATACCAGCCCATGGAGAAAATGGCTGTGAGCCAAAGACCAACTCCTCTCACCAGTAAAAACATGAACACCCTATTGCTTAAGTCGGAAGGAAACAATGAGCTCCCTAAAGGATCATGCTGGGGCCAGGGGTCCCGCCACGGGAGCGCCAAGGCCCGGGCTGCAGAAGACTAGTGCTCCTGGGTCTCCCCCAAACCATCTCAGAGTGCAGATGTCAATGCAAAGGGCTGCCGAAGGGCACACCCTGAGGGGCTCGGGAGTCTATCTCAAAGCCAATGGCATTGTTGCAACAGTTCCAGTGCAAATTCATGTCAAGATTCAAGACAATAGTTTCTCAAACATGAAATCCAATAAAGTGGAATATAACCCATATGTTATATGTAATTAAAACTATGAAACTAAAATAAAATGCTTATAGCAGGTTAACAGTTTGAAGACTTAAGATGAGAAAAATTTTTATTTTACGAAAATATTTAATCTTTGGCCCAAAGTCATAAAATGCAAACTTCTAAGGTAATTCAGCAGTTAAAACGAGGGCAGATAATATTTGACTTCCAGTTCCTGTTCTGGGGCAGGCGTTCAGCCCTGTGGCTGAGGAGGGTGTGGGCAGCCCAACCCAGGGCTTAGCACCTGCTCCAGCTGCTCACTCCAGCGTCTCGTTGCTGTGGACCCTGAGAGGCAGCGGGAACAGCTCCCACCACTGGGTTCCTGTCAGCGATGTGCGAGACTTGGACTGAGGTCCCAGATTCCACCTGGCCCAGCCCCGGCCACTCCAGCTCTCAGGAGCATGAGCAGCCTCTCTTTGTGTGTGTTTGTCTCTCCAAGAGGGGGTGAGGGAGTAATCACAGTCCTGTTCTATTTTTCTAAGCTAAGGCAAAATTGGAAAAACTGAGTCCAACTTGGTTTCACATTAACTGCTTCAGGTACAAAGTTCTCTAGGCATCTCTGGGTCTGGATTTAAAAGAGGTTGTGAATGAAATCAACAACTCAAAAACCAAAATGCAAACAAGCAAACTACATATTAAGATACACTGAGAGAAAAACAAGCCGCAATAGAACCTCATTAACTAAAATTCGTCAGAGAAAATGGGAGTTTGATTACATGAAAAATGTAAATCCATTTAAAAGAAAAAATACTGAGATTTCCCATAAAATGCACATGTGTGTATTTCAAGGCTCAAGTGTAAACAGTGCTCTACAAAAAGCCTGGCCTGCCCGGGATCCTCCCGGAAGTCACTGGGATGCGACCGTAGGATGGGCCTTGGCGGCCGGGGACTCGTAAAGGCTGGTTAACAAGACCTTCAATGCTTCCTCAGTTCTAACGGCTTTCCTTACAGGCTATTATTTTGCCTCTGCAAACTCTTCAGCTTAACACATTATTTTAAATACTAAAAGGCATTAATGAGGTTTTACTGTGAAAGTAGAAAAACATTTCAAAGTGGTAAGATTCCAGTATTACCCGTAACAAAAAAAATTAGCAAACACACATCATTTTGTAAAGCTGCTGTGCAGCAGAGCAAGGACCAGATCCCTCACACAGCGGAGAGCGGAGCCACGTAAGAAAATCCACACAATTATTACACCAGTGGCTCCCAAGCACATCAGAAACACAGAAGTGCAACCCAGCAATAAACAGAATTGCACTGATAAGGAGACAGTGAAGTTAATGTTTCCTGAGAAAGAGAGAGACACAAGGAAAGAGATATTTGAATGCAGTCAGTGTTGAGCCCTTAAAACTCACTTAGATTTCAACATCACACTTTAGCAAAAACATATATCCATATTGGAGGCATCTGAATGACATGATTACAGTCGAAACTGAGCAAATAAAAGACAAAACCAACAGTGTCCCCACCCTGAACGTCCACGTTCCCCTTTCACGTAAGTAACAGAAGCAGACCAACATAATCCAGGAAAACAGGGCTTTCTCTCCAGTCAGCTCTCAATATGTCTCCCAAACACAGTTCACTAAGTTATTCTAAACCATGTGTGTTTAACTTTGGTATGACAGATTCACACACAGATATATGTAAACATCAAGAAAATCACTGTGCTCCATGACTGGCCCTAAGCTATCCGGGCCCTGGATTACCCGGCAAGAAGGGCCTGATCACACACTGAGGACGGAGGATCCCGGATGCTCAGGAGACAACAGAGACGATGGCGCTGAGTGTCAGGAATTGGTCTAGAAGCACAGCTTAAACACGGATCCCCACAAGCAAGAGGAGGAAAAAACAATCCCACTTCATTTTTAGAAAGAATCAAGTCACTGAATTTCGTCCAAGTTGCTGCCATTTGCTTGGATGAGATCTTGAAGGTTTTCCTTTTTTCTCCACCCAGTTTAAGAACATATTGACTAATAATCTGTAGTAAAAATTGAATAAAGGCTTTTCCCTGCTGTTCCTCATTATGCCAACGCAAGAACTGGAAAAATGCCAAACAAAATCAGGTTAGTGGTACAGAAAGTTCATGAACAATCTATGAACATTACTCATAATAACGATCCATTAGCAGGAGACTCAGAACTTCTCATTGTGCTTCGTGTTCACTCTGCCAGCCTAACGGGATGCTAAATTTTAAAAACTGATTGACATGCCAACTAGAAACTGTACCAGTAAGAAGCTCACCTAATCCAGTCCTAGACATGGAATAAGGAAACGGCCTGCCTGCATGACAATGGTGGGCCAAGGGTCTAACCAAAGAGGGACACCAGCATCCAGGCGGGCTCCACTTCCTGTCTCCCATAAAGCTGACCAGCTTTACCCACGTATTACTTACACAATAAAGATGAATCCCCATTAACCAAAGCATGGACTGCAAAGCAGAAAAGCGGCATACATACCACTGATAGCTTCCTGTGCAAAGTACTTGACATCCATGTCTTCATCTTGACCTAACTTCTGCAGTACTGGCTTAACCTCCCCCTGCAAAGCACTGAAATTCAAAAGAATCTGTGAGAGAGGCAGGCCGGTGGGTCAGAGAAATCCTCTATAGCATATACTTTACATGATAATTCTTAAAGCTTAAAATAAAAAAAAATATATATATATATTTTATTTTTTTTTTTTAAAGATTTATTTTTATTATTTTTTCATTGGAAAGGCAGATATACAGAGAGGAGAGACAGAGAGGAAGATCTTCCGTCCGATGATTCACTCCCCAAGTGAGCGCAACGGGCCGATACTATGCCGATCCGAAGCCAGGAGCCTCTTCCGGGTCTCCCACGCGGGTGCAGGTTCCCAAAGCTTTGGGCCGTCCTCTGCTGCTTTCCCAGGCCACAGGCAGGGAGCTGGAAGGGAAGCGGGGCTGCCGGGATTAGAACCGGCGCCCATATGGGATCCCGGGCGGCAAGGTGAGGACCTTTAACCACTTGCGCCACCGCGCCGGGCCCCAATATATTTTAAACTCAAACTTAAGAAATGTACTAAATGTTTTTATACTAAATTTTTAAGAGATCAGCAAACAGCTTCCGCCAGTGGTGCACATATACAGATATACATAACTTAAATATAAAAGTCAAAGTGCACATCTTCAAAAATGACTGCCTAATTATCATTTGCTTTAAACAAATCAAGATCTTGTGAATCAAGAATCACACAGCTTAATTTTAGCAAGCACTCCTCTCTGTGAGGGAAAAAGTTAAAACACTTTTTAAACAAAAATAACATGAAAATCTTACTCGGTATCTAGAATTGGTCCAATTTTTTGTAGAGATTTGGCCACATTGAAACGGACATTTGCTACTTGGTCTCCTGCCATTTTTAATACAATGGGCAACATTTGCTTCGTAGTTATTTCCTGACCACAGGCTTCAGACAGTGCCTAGAAAAGTAAGATGAAATATTTGTAACTTTTATTTATTTACTTATCTTTTCATTTTACTTAAAAGGCAAAGAGGTAAAGACAAAGAAGGATCTTCCGTCTGCAGATTCAACTCCCCAGATGTCCACTATAGTAGGACATGTCCAGGATAAAGGCAGGAGCCCGGAACTCAATATAGGTCTCCCATATGGGTGGCAGGGACCCAAACGCCTGAACCATCATGTGCTGCCGCCCAAGCTGTCTGCATCAGCAGGAAGCTGGAACTGGAAGCACATTCAGAAGCTGAACCCAGTACTCTGACACAAAACATGAGCATACCAAACGCCCATCTCAACACATTTTCAATTCACAAAATCTGGCACAACAGACTTAATATTTGCTAAGAAGCTAACCGTTCAACAGGAAAATCTTTCCAGCCCAACCATATGAATGAGGAATATAAGGGAAAACTAAAAAAATCAGACTCAGACAGACCAGAATTCACAATATTTCAACTTGCAAAAGTAATTCATAAAATTTATTATCAACATTCTCCCACCTTCTCATTGCCCACTTTTAGCAGTACAAATGTGTTCCAAATAGAAACGGGTATATTCACATTTGGAAATTCATCTATAAGTCTGTTTTAGCACCCAAGCCCAGCAGTAACACTTACATTAATGCAGAATAATGTTGTCATTCTATGCAAGTAGTTCGGGTCATTCGCCATTACTAACACTTTGGGAACAATGGTATTTTGGGCCCACTCTGTGCCAAACTTCTGAACAAGCTTCATGAGGTTGTTGGTGGCAGCTTCCCGGATGGCATATACTGTAGGAGAGATCAAGAAGACCTTTTCACTGCTGACTCAACAAACAGAACTGAGTAACCATACTGCAACAAGCATGTTCAGCAGCAACTTGTATGCAAGGCTAGGACTTTAGACACTAGGCTACCGTACTGGGCCCAGAAATCATATATTCTTATTTGAGAAATGAAAGCCAACACATCCCAAGATGTGCCACAATGCAAGATGGACTACTAAGAAGTCTGGCCTTGTGTAGTAAGTGCTATGAGGAATGGAGGACAAGGAGCTTTGGGAAGGTTACAGGGACACTTTGCGCTGGTATTTAAGCACAGGGAAGTGAGGAGGATTCCTGGAAAAAGCAAAAGAGTAGTGCCCACAACAGCACAAAGCCTGTGAGACTCCAAAGTTAGACAGGGTGTGCCCAGATGATGGGGCATTTTGAAAAACCCAATAAGATTAAATAAACAAAACAAAAAAAAACAAAGAACAAATGAAAAAAAAGGAGGATGAGCTTTTAATGCAAACCTATTGTTCAATGATCAATGTAATATTTTTGACCATGTAGGTGCTTCTGGGGTCACCTACACACAGCAAATAAAAAAGTCATTTCTTTTCTACTTAGACAATCACTTAGGTTGAGAAAAACTGCCAAATGCTTTGTGTGAGTAATTGTGCCTGTCTTAACAATTCCCTACAAAACCATTTTTCCAAGAACACTTACATACTAGATGATAAAGGCTTCAGCTACAATCCTTGTCCAGTTTCTACACAAAGCTACAAAAGCCTGCTGTCACTTCATTTTGCAGGTCCACCATGAGTGAAAACATGAGCCTGGGTAACAGAGGGTGGCCAATAGTGATTCCCAAGTCTCTTTCTGTCACCAGGTGAGCTCAACTCTGAGACCTGATAGGAAGGACAATGAATGGATATCCGTGCCATGGCTCAGAGCACAGGCAGTGGACATGGGCCTCCAGACAGGAAACATCCAACTGGTCTCAAGCTGCATGCAGCACATCCTTCAGGCACCATGCAGGAGAGCACACACAAGAAACCACAGTCTGTTACCTCAACTTCGATCCCCTGAGCTCATGGGCCACGGCCTGTCAGCAACACCCAGAAGCACTAAGGAACAAGCTCCAGCCAGCTGCTGTACTCATGACACATTGTTTCCCTTCACACCCAGTTTTGGTCTCTGGCCCAAACCCTCTTCTTCCCCTAAAGTACATTGGCTAAAGCATCTGTCTTCTCTACTTACTATTTTTTAATATGCTTGAGGTTTTTCTCATCATCATGCCATTACCTTAGAAGGGATCCCACTGTGGAGCAACATGGCTCAGCCTTGACCAAGACCTTAACTGCACTCAATTCTACTTGGAAAGATGCCTACTATCTTCTTGGCTCCTCTCATTTCTGCTATTAAAAGAATGCAAAACATGCCATGCTCTGCCTGTTTTCTCTCCTGGTTTTGGCATTTTTCTCTTCCTCTCTTTTACTTCTCACTCATTCTTCCTTTCTCTCTCCTCTCAAGGTTTGGCTGATTGCTATATTTAATACTTCATTCTTTCTTCTATGAAGAATAAATTCTGGAGCCAGAACAGAGGGGAAGCAGGCTAAGCCTCCCTTTACAGAGCCATCATCCTATATGGGTACTAGTTCTAGTCCTGGCTACTCCACTTCCAATACACCTCCCTGCTAATGGCCTGGGAAAGCAGGGCAAGATAGGATGGCCCGGGTCCTAGGCTGCTACACCCACATGGGAGACCTGGGGGAGGCTTCTGGCTTCTGACTGGCACAGCTCTACCCGTTGTGGCCATCTGGGGAGTGAATTGAAAGATGCACACTCTCTGTAACTCTGGCCTTCAAATAAAAATGAATAAATATTTAAAATAAATAAATAAATAACTTCCATGTCTAAATTTTTCCCTCTGCTCAATGATGTCTACTTAACTAGTACTTTCTCTCTTATACTTCCCTGAATTTTTTACATTCTTGTTAGTTTAATAACCAGGAAAAATGTTTTAAAATAAATACAAATCAGAAACCAATATATAACACCTATCTAAAATGCAAAATCAAAGTGACAGAAAACTGCTGTGATTCAGTGCAGGACCAGCTTAGAGCTGCCATTTCATGGTTCAAAGAATGCCTGGAGTCCCCACCATAGGCTGCAGATGCAGTAAAACAAACAAGGATCTGCCCTGCCCCCAAACTGGAAGCAAAACAAAAATTAGGAAAGTAGTAGTAATTCAGGGATCGCTGCGATGGCTCTACTAGCTAATCCTCCTTGGCCTGCAGGCAGCAGCATCCCATATGGTCCTGACTGCTCTGTTTCCCATCCAGCTCCCTGCTTGTGGCCTGGGAAAGCAGCCGAGGATGGCCAAAGCCTTGGGACCCTGCACTCACGTGGAAGGCCCAGCAGAAACTCCTGGCTCCTAGCTTCAGGCTGCAGATTGGCTTTGCTCCAGCCACTGTAGCCATTTAGAGTGAACCAACAGATGCAAGATCTTTGTCTCTTTTTTCTGTATATCTGGTTTTTTTTTTTTTTAAGATTTATTTATTTTTATTACAAAGTCAAATATACAGAGAGGAGGAGAGACATCTGAGAGGAAGATCTTCCGTCCAATCATTCACTCCCCAAGTGGCCACAATGGCCAGAGCCATGCCAATCCAAAGCCAGGAGCCCAGACCCTCTTCCAGGTCTCCCAGGCAGGTGTAGGGTCCCAAAGTCTTAGGCCGTCCTCGACTGCTTTCCCAGGCCACAAGCAGGGAGCTGGATGGGAAGTAAGGCTGCCAGGATTAGAACCGGCACCCATATGGGATCCCAGCACGTTCCAGGCGAGGACTTTAGCTACTGGGCCACGCCACTGGGCCCTGTTTTTTCAATAAAAAGAAATAAATCTTTTAAAAGAAGAGAAAGAGAACTGAGGTTAAATGAGCAATATTAAAAAAGAAGTAGTAAATTCAATTGCCAAGAGCAATGCTATTTAGAAAGGATGTCAGGAATTTAATCCCATGTGGAATACTAGAATTTTAAATTCCTCCAGAAAGTTCTCTCAAATAAAGTATAGATGAGCTGCTGCTGGTGAGAGTTGTGGTGCATCAGCTTAAGCTGCCACCTACAACATTATTTCATATGAGCAATGGTTTAAGTCCCAGACTACAGGCTGGCTCAGCCCTTGCCATTGCGCCCAACTGGGGAATGAACCCGTGGATGAAAGATCTAGAAAGAAGAAAGGTTGCTAGACCATGTCATTCTCACTAAAATTCAATAATTATCAGAAGTAGCAAACACTTCTTAGAATAATTTCTTTGCTATAAATTGCCAATTTGTTTCATGTAAAGAGAGAAAACAGAGTTGGTGCTGTGACACAGAAGTGTAAGCCACTGCTTTACAATGTTGGCATTTCATATGGGAGAACTGGTTTGAGTCTCGCTGCTCTGCTTCTGATCCAGCTTCCTGGGATAAGAGCGGATGTTACCGAGTGCTCGGGTTCCTGCCTCCATAGCTGGGCCTGGCACAGCCTTGGCTTTTGTCGCCGTTTAGGGAGTGAACTAGGGAATGGAGAAGCTCACTCTCTCTCTGTCTCTTCCTCTTTCTTTGTCGCTCTACCTTTCAAATAAAGTAAATTAACCTTAAAACCAAACAAAAAAATCATTTAAAAAAAATTTTACAGGAAAAAAGGCCTCATATCTAGTTTGACAGATAAATACTAACTGGAAATACTAACACACATATTCCTTATAATGGATTTTCATGTTTTCAAAGTCATCCATTTCACCCTTAGCCATATGATTTCACAGATGTAACAAATACACTTTTAACAAATATCCTCATTCCTCTCAAACATCCAAGCATAAGCAGAGATGGACAAAGAGATACACTCTTACCTATAGAACTGAAACAGGATGCCATCATAGCCACAAAAATATGGAACCAAAGTTCACAGAACAATAATACATGTTGTAATACATACAACAATAATACATCTGTTTCCACTCACTGGAAATAGATGCCAAGGCTGGATGTGGGACCTGTCTCACCAATGCTGCCTGGCACACAGGGATCTACACATTTGCATCTACCCAGGACCCGGGCAGAGTGCTACCCATGCTTTCCTGTGGCCCTACTGGACTTTGGCTTCTGACACAGTTGCAGCAGAGTGTAATTAGCCTTCCTTTCCCTCAAACCAGAAACCTGGGCCCTCTCTATCCTGGCTCTCTTCCTACTAGCACCACAATTCACCTCCTTTTCCATGTACCAACTCAAAGAAGTCAAGTATCCACTCCACCTACACCTTTCAGCTGACTCCATTTCCTATCTAACCTAGCCTAGGGTTGCTGAAGACACAAATGACAGTAAACAGAACTGAGCCAAAGATGGACAAGTACAAACTTCAAAGGAATAGACTGAATATAACAAAATGAATAAGAAATATGCTGAAATATGACAAAGAAATGGTTTAATGGAGAAAATAAAATTTAAAACAAAACAAAAAGCCCAAAAATAAATAAAATTTTAAAAAAATGGTACCAACAATCTTGAGGAAGCTAGCTGGACATAAATATTTCTTTTCAAAGATTTATTCCTCTATTTGAGTCACAGAAATAGAGCAAGAGACAAAGAGACCTTATATCCGTTGGCTCACTCTAGATAGCCACTACCACCAGAGCTGGATCAGGCCAAAGGAGGAGCCCAGAGCTTTATGGTGTCTCCTACATGGGGTGGCAGAGGCACTAATACTTGGGTCATCTATTGCTTTTCCCAGGCAACTAGCAGGAAGCTGGAAGGGAAGCGCAGTAGCTGGGACAGGAACCAGCAGCAATATGGGATCGTAGCATTGTAGGCAGCAGCCTTCCCTACTATGCCACAGTGTTGACCCCAGTTAACTGGACTTTAACAAAGCCTTTACTCATTCCTACATTGTTAACGGAAAACATATGGCCAGACTGAGACTCCTAAACGCTAATGTGTGAACATTATTAGATGTAAACAAAAACGCAGGCTTTTTAATCTTCTGTTTTTAGCTTGTCTACTCACCATGGTCCACAAGCCAGGCCATACACAAAGAATTCAGCTTTTCATCGAAGAATTCCACACCCTGTAGTTACAGAAAATTTCATTAATATATACCTCCAACATTTGGAAATCCAGATGCTCTATTTATATTATACTTCAATGTGGTTACTTGTTCAAGGCAAGAACTTTAGCTGCTAGGCTATCGCGCCAGGCCCTGGATTCAATTTTAAGACATACCTGACCAGCAACTTTAAAAAAAAAATCTATTTATTTAAGCGATAACACAAACTCTTTCATCTGTTGGTTCACTAATCCAAAACTTTCAAGGGCCAGAGCTGGGCTGCCACAAAACCAGCAGCTGTGAACGCAAGGCAGGTCTCCCATGCAGACTGCAGGGACTCATGTGCCTGAGCCATCACCAGGGCCTCCCAGAGTGCGCATTAGCAGGGAGCTGGAGTCGGGGAAGTTGCAAAGGATTCAACAGCTAGTACTCCAAAATGGGATGCAGGCTAAATGCCTACACCATGATGTGCTTAGATATCCATGCTTCTAAAATACTGAGTAACACAAAGAAAGGGGCTAGGTCAGATCTCCATAGACAGGCTTCAGCATTATGTCAACATACAATTCTTCTTCCTTTCGGACTGAGGATTCTCCTTTGGTCATAGACCCACATCTCTCACCATACACTAAGATCCAATCTACATGGATAAAAGACCTAAACCTACATCCAGAAACCTTCCAACTCTTGGAAGAAAATGTTGAAAATACCCTGCAAGATCTAGGAGTAGGTCCTGACTTCCTAAAAAGGACACCAAAAACAATAGCAATCAAGACGAGAATAAACAAGTGGGACCTCATCAAACTAAGAAGCTTCTGTACAGCAAGGGAAACAATCAACAAAGTAAAAAAGCAACCCACAGAACGGGAGAAGATCTTCGCGCACTATGTAGGTGATAGGGGGCTAATCTCCAAGATATACAAAGAACTACAAAATAACAAAAACACCAAAACAAATAAGCCACTCAAGAAATGGGCACGGGAAATGGGCAAACATTTCACAAAGGAACAAAGCCAAATGGCAAACAAACATATGAAAAAATGCTCCAGCTCCCTGGCAATAAGGGAAATCCAAATTAAGACATTGATGAGGTACCACCTAACGCCAGTAAGACTGGCCCACATAAAAAAAAAAAAACACCAACAATACTTGTTGGCGAGGATGTGGGGAAAAGGGAACTCTACTCCAGTGCTGGTGGAGCTGTAGGTTGGTACAGCCTCTATGGAAATCAGTATGGAGAACTCAAAACAACTCGAAATCTGCATGCCATACGACCCAGCAATAGCACTCCTAGGAATATATCCAAAACACCTGTTTCACGAGAAACCAACATGCACCCCCATGTTCATAGCAGCACAAACAGGAATTGCAAAAACATGGAAGCAACCGAAATGCCCATCAGCAGAAGACTGGATAAGAAAGCTATGGTTCAACTACTCCATGTAATACTACTCAGCTATTAAAAAAAATAAAATGAATTTCTTTGTGGCTAAATGGGCCCAACTGGAAACTATAATGCTAAGGGAAATGAGCCAATCCCAAAAGGTTAGATACCACATGTCTGCCTTAATTTAAGATGAAATGATGTCAGTATGAAAAATAGTACCTGTAACATGCAAATTTTTTTAACATATTGGTTACTCAATACTATGTCCACTAATTCCATAATGTTGTGGATTGTTGCTGATGTTATGTTGGGGCTTTTGATTGGTCAGGATGACACTCTGCCGGCTCTACCTTCAGACTAGAGATGGTCTCCACACGAAGTCGTTGAACTTATCTGGACAATAAGATGCTGGACTCTATGTTTGGTATATGCTTGCAATGAATGAACCTCAACTGAACTTGAACTGTGGCAATACAGCAAGGTGGAGGAATCCACCATGGGGGGGGGGGAGGGTTGGAGGATGGGTAGGGGGAATCCCAGTGCCTAAAAAACTGTGTCACATAATGCAATGTAATTTAAAAAGAGAGACAGATTTACTTATTTTAACTGGAAAACAGACACATAGAGAGGAGAGACAAAAAGATGTTTCATCTGCTGGTTCACTCCCCACGTGGCTGCAACAGCCAGAGCTGAGCTGATCTAGAGCAAGAGCCAGGAGCTTCCTTCAGGCCTTCCATGTGGGTGCAGGGTCCCAAGGCTTGGGCCGTCCTCAAGTGCTTTCCCAGGCCACAGGCCAGGAGCTAGATGGGAAGTGGAGCAGCCAGGATATGAATCGGCACCCATAGGTAACCCACTAGGTTACTGTGCCATGCCTGAGAAATTTTTTTTAAAGTACTATCTCTTAATAATCTTTACAGATTAAATATTTATATGTATACATATACATACATGAACAAGTTGAAACCGTATGACCAAATGTTTGTGGTGATGCCAATCTCTATCAGGCAGGTATAAATCAGCCAAAGGCACCATCTGCCCTACCTCCCTACTGTTCCATATAGCCAGCAGCCCTTGGGGACATTACAGGTCCAGGAAAAATCAGAAGTTAGAAAAAAAAATGCTAAAATTCACTCTCCCTCTGACAGCTATTTCAATCTTCAGCAGAAGTTAGTCACAGCTACTTCCTATGTCAAAGAATGAATTCATGGCTGTCATCAGGGAAGAGAATGACCTCAGCACTTGGGAGTGACAGAGGAAGGTGCAACAAGATGACCTCACTTAACTTGATGAACTACATGCAGATCATCTTCAGCATCCATCCTAAAGACAGTTCAAATTCTCTAAGACATGCAATGCAAAGCCACAGGCATCAAGATGCACACTCACAAGCTGAAGTTACTGAAGTTAGCCCCACAAATTCAACGGCTGAAAAAAAGATATGATTCGAAAGGAACGGAGGTGAAAATAGGAAAGGGAAAACAAACTCCAGCAACGCATTATGAGCTTTTTCAAAAAACATCCAAGTAGGTACTTTTCCGATCATCAGCAAATGCTAAGTGCCTAATTATTGATAGGCAGCATGGCAGAGACTAAAAAATACAATAATGAGCATAGTCCCTGCCCTAAAAGATCATTCTCTCCTTACAACTACACTGTAACACTTATGATATACTTTAAGAAGTGCTACAAATAGGCCTTGGGATTGTCTAGGACATCTACCAAAAACCAAAGGATGAAGTGCAATTCTCAGCCACAAAATTTCAACTGACAAGCTATCAGAATGAAACTAATCATGAAACTCACAGAATAATAGATAATGTAGGCTTTCCTAAATGAAATAGCATTACCAGCTACTTCTTTTCTATGTGATTCCTCTGCTTCCTTTAATGAAAATCTAGGAAAAATTGTAGCAAGGGACATTTTGCTTAGAATATAAGCAAAGAAGGAAGCTACCTTGACCAAAAATTAAAGCTGATTTATTTTGAAACAATACTCCCTTTTCAGTTAAATATTTCTTAAGTCAAAAATACTAAATATTATAAAATCTAAACTGCATGACCTAAAAAATCGACTGAATTGTCTTATTCTATAGCTTTGCTTATAGAAGGCAGTGAGAAGTGTTCTGTGTAAGTCACTGTACTGTGGCATAGCAATTCAGCTCTGACTTGGGAAGTCTACATCCTACTGTATGCGAGGGCCACTCAGCTGCTCTGCAAACACTTCCAATTGAATTTCCTGTTAATACGTACCCTGGGAGGCAGCAGTGGATGGTGTCAGCATTTGGTTTCCTGCCACCCACATGAAGACCTGGATAGAGTTCTTGGCCTAGGCTTACCTAAGCTGTTACAGGCATTTGGGGAGTGAACCAAAAGATCAGAGGTCTCTATCCTTCTCTCAATCTTTCAAATAAACCTTCAAAAAAAACGCTAACAAATGAAGCCAAAACACATTCAACAGGCATCAACAGGATGGTACTTTGATGCATCTAAACAAATATATCCACACAGACTGCATGTGCCTACTTCCCGTGGTAAATCTCCACTATCTGAGGCTACCTTTCAGTTGGCACACACATACTCACCAGCTGGCCAGCCAACAGTGGCATATACTCAATGATGGCCAACCGGACTCTCCACTTGGCATCTTCAGCCAGTTCCACTATGGCTGGAAGGAGAGACTGTGAAAGCTGACGGATTCCAATCACCTCATTTACACAATCCAAATTGGAGATGATATTCAAACGAACTTCAGGACACTGGAAACACACAAGCCCCCAAAGGTTACATGTAAAAAAATAAGTTCTCTGCCCAATATTCTCTGTTCATAATCAAGTGAAAATTGCTAAGCATATTTTTAAACTAGGAAGTAGTGACATGGATGAAAAAAAAGGATAGGTTTCTTAAAGAAAATACTTACTACTTGAGTACACAAGTAACTCAAGTTATAAAAATTTAAGTGATGTCATCCAGAACTTTCAGTTAAAAACTAAGTCCTTAAAAACAATAAATACAGGCTCTGGGATTAAAACACATGGACTCAAATCCCAGATCTTCCATTCCTGAGTCTCCTCAGGCAAATTACTCTGCCTCAGTGTCCAAATCCGTGAAACAGGAATAAGCCCTACCTCACAAAATTAGTTGTTGTATAAAACATATAGCAAAAAATGCAATGCAATTGGGATAATGGTACATGTTACTTAATGAGTGTTTACTACATAATGTTTGATACTATAAACTTAATAAAGTAATTTTTTCCAACAAACATGTATCAGCTTTAAAGGCAAAAAATAAAAACCGTGAACATCAAGTGAAAACCAAGCAGAGAAGATGTTTTAAACATTTTGAAATTTGTTTCAATGGTCCCTGTGCCACTGTCTGGGGAACCTGTGACCCTACACTCACATAAAGGCACTGAAAACAGTTCACAGGCAGTTCTGATTTTTCTCTTTCATCTTTGGGGTCCTACTGTAGTAAACTCAGTAACAAAATCAGACAAAATCACTGACAAAGGTAACAAAATTTACACTCAGACTCACCTCATCCTTTAACTGAGCTAAAAACAGAGGTAGAAGGTGTTCAATGGTATTTTCTTTGCCCAAAATTGTAGACAATCCCATAATTACTGAAGCTAGAGCTGATTTGACATGCTGATTGGTATCAGATACTAATTCCTAAAATAAAAATAAAATTAAAAGCCTTTCATTTCTGCAAGACAATAAATTTCCACACCGTCTCCCAGAATTTAAAGACATCACTTGTTTGAATATTGATTAGCTGAGCTATTTCTTCAGACCACATATTACGCTAACAAACCTATGCACTAAAAAAAATTTTACAATTATGATAGGCTCTATAATGTGAAAAACAATGTCAAACATCAGTATTTATCTCCCCCATTCACCTCTTGTCCACCTTTAAACACAAGATTTAAAACTAAGCAAAAAATTGAGAGTATGTGCTTTCCTGCAGTGCAGAGTGAAACAAATTTGGCTTACCTTTATATAGGGCAGAATTTGATTCATAATTACGGTCTCTCTACCTTCAATGGGCAAGTTCTCACAAAGTTCTAGACAATGGAAAACGCAATGCTGTCACAAAATCATTTACACCCAAGGAGACAAATAAGAAATGTTTACCAGGTTTAATAAGAGTTCCTTAAGCAAATAAGGTCTAAGGACAGAAACAGCTCTTACCATAAATGTACTTTTCTGACAATCTTTATCACCCCAAGCCAGTAAGAAAAGCAGGGTTTTTTTAAAAACTGAAATATTATAAAACATTTGCTTGGAATCACCTCTATAAATCTTAATAGCATATTCTAGAGCAAAAACGAGCCAAAATTAAAGACATTTAAAAACGCACTAAAGTGAATGAAACATATTGTTGCACAAATTGAACTTTTCAACCTTTTACTTTGTGGGCAGCAGCTGCTCGGACTTCAGCTTCACAATCTTTAAGTAGGTTCTGAAAGGCAGGGATGAGGTCGTGCAGGGTGATGTTAGGACCCACTGCTCTCTGCAGCTGTAAAAGAAGTTGGTAAAGGGCTTAATGACACCAACAGAGCAAGAACCAAACAGAATAGTGCAATCTTCAAGAGTGTATTTTTGTCATGCTCCTGTCCCCTTAAATCTCCGGTACAACAGCAAATACGTAGCCTTTCCACTTCCTCCAGTACTTAAAAAGTCAATACAACCAGCTTACCTCTGAAAACTTGTCAGCTACCATGTAACGAACACGCCAAGATTTATCTTCTGCTGCTTGTCGAAGTGTAGGCATCACCATGGACTCAAGGTCATCCTGAGACAGTAACTGGGCTATACTGACACAAGCTTCCACAGCTAGGAGGCGCACTGAATCCTAAAGCAACACAATTTGTTAGGCAATTTCCACTGACAACCCACAGTGTGTAGTATAGGGAGAGAGCACTGCGGGGGTTATTTCAAAACAAAACAACAAACCAAACACACCATATGTGATTTTACTTCTTTGTGTCTTGAAATAGTTGAGTAGCTGCTCTTTTTTTTGCCTGTAATGCCATGTGAAAGTCATAAAGATAGAAATGACTTAATTTTATGCATGAATTTAACTGGCTTGGCTAGAGTACAGAGTTTTTATTAACAAAAATGTAAACATTTAAGTAAAAAGATAATATTTTAAAACTGTCTTCAGAGTCCAACTACCATAGCAAGTTGAGGAATCAAACTGAAAATTACTATTGTGTAAATGATAATCAACTAACAAGTAAGACAAGTTAAAACAGAACTTCAAAAAAAAAAAAAAAATCAGGGGCCTGGCGGCAAGGCCTAGTGGCTAAGGTCCTCGACTTAAACGCCCCCCCCGGATCCTAAAAGGGCGCCGGTTCTAGTCCCGGCAGCTCCACTTCCCATCCAGCTCCCTGCTTGTGGCCTGGGAAAGCAGTCCATGATGGCCCAAAGCTTTGGGAACCTGCACCCGTGTGGGATACACGGAAGAAGTTCCTGGATCCTGGCTTTAGATCGGCATAACATCAGCAGTTGCGCTCACTTGGGGAGTGAATCATCGGATGGAAAATCTTCCTCTCTGTCTCTCCTCCTCTCTGTATATCTGACTTTCCAATAAATAAATAAATCTTAAAAAAAAAAAATTCAGTTAAGGTGGCCAGTTGTAACCACACCTGCAATGCTGAATCCCATGTTGGAGTGCCAGTTTATATTCAACATGTTCTGCTTCCATTACCGGTTCCCTGATAATATACCTGGGAAGTCAACAGCATATGGCCCAAATATTTGGGCCCCTGTCTCATTCACAGTTTCAGGTTCCTGGTTTCAGTCTGGCCCAACCCTTGCTGTTGAGATCATTTGGAGAGATGAGCAACAAACAGAAAATCTCCCTCTCTCTTTCTTCCTCTATCACTCCTCATTTCAAAGAAAATAAACCTTTTTAAAAAGTCACTGGTGCTTTGGGCCCGGCGCGGTGGCGCAGTGGTTAAGGTCCTCACTTTGCACGCCCGTGATCCCATATGGGCGCCGGTTCTATCCCGGCAGCCCCGCTTCCCTTCCAGCTCCCTGCCTGTGGCCCAGGAAAGCAGTCAAGGACAGCCCAAAGCTTTGGGACTCTGCACCCGCGTGGGAGACCCAGAAGAGGCTCCTGGCTTCGGATCGGCATAGTATCGGCCGTTGCACTCACTTCGGGAGTGAATCATTGGACGGAAGATCTTCCTCTCTGTCTCTCCTCTCTGTATATCTGCCTTTCCAATAAAAAAAAATAATAAAAATAAATCTTAAAAAAAAAAGTCACTGGTGCTTTTAAAAAGCTTAATACTAAATCTACTATCTATTGAAATATACATCAACAATTTTTATTGCTTGATCACTTTTCTTCTAGAACTCCTAATTTCCTCTGCTACAGCTAATTCCTTCTCCCAGATGCTTCTCCATCTTGGCAATGACACCATCTTCCACTCAGCTGCTCAAGCAAAAAATCTAAAACTTCTTGATTCCCTCATCCACTCCAAAAGTACTAAGTTCTATTAATGTTACCTCCAAGTTTTACTGTAGGTTTGTCCTCTCCACCTTCATTTTTATCACACAAGTTCATTTTCCTATTTTTTTGGTTAATATTTTTATTTATTTTTATTGGAAAGTCAGATACACAGAGAGGAGGAAAAACTCCCCAAGTGACCACAACTGCCAGAGCCGTGCTGATCCAAAGCCAGAAGCCTGGAACTTTCACCTGGTCTTCAACGAGGGCGCAGGGACCCAAGGCTTTGGGCTGTCCTTGACTGCTTTCCCAGGTCACAAGCAGGGAGCTGGATGGGAAGCAGGGCCACTCGGATTAGAACTGGTGCCCACATGGGATCCTGTCAACGTGAGGACTTAAGCTGCCAGACCACCATGCCAGGCCCCACTTTTCTATTCTATGCCAGCATTGTAGTGTAATAAGTAAAGCCACCATATATAAATGCCAGTTTGTGTCCCAGCTCTCCAGTTTCAATCCAGCTCCCTGCTAATGGACTGGGAAGAGCAACAGAGGATGACCTAAGTGTTTGGACATCTGCCACACACTGTGAGAAACCCAGATGAAGTTTCTGGCTTCAGCCTGGTTCAGTCCTAACCATTGTAGTCAGCTTGGGTATAAATCAGCAGCTGGGAGATTTCCATCTCTATCCTTTCTTCTCTCTATGTAGCTCTTTCAAAAAATAAATAAATAAATAAATAAAATTTAGTTTCTTCCCAGAAATATGAATGATCTTCTACATAGCTGAATCACATCATGTCGCACCCTTTCTCAAAATCAAGGTGTGGGAGTGTCTGGCCCAGCAGTTAAGATGCCACTCTGGACACCCATATCCATTGCTGCAGTGCCTGGCTCAGTGCAGCTCCTCAGCTTCTGATCCAGCTTCCTGATACCGCACACACCCTGGCAGACAGAAGGTAATGGCTCCGATATTTTTTGTGGCTGTGCCAGCCATGTGGGACCCAGATGAAATCCTCGGTGCTGTTTTCAATCTGTCCTAAGCCTGGCTGATGGGGGTTATGAACTTGTGAAATAACAGAGGTAAGCTCTCACCATATGTCTGCCTGGCACAAAAACGGTCAGGTATAGTCACATTACGCCAAGAACAGAAAATCCAAACTTTACACTCTGGCTCTAAGGTCCTCTGTGATCAAATCCTGGTTATCTTCTATCAATCTCTTTTGATCACTGTATCCCAACTTAACGGGCTCTAAACTACATGACAACTCTTTCTGAAATCCTGTTTCCCTGCGCTCTGACCCTGTAAGATACAGCAAAGATAAGTAAACAGGCTGGTGAAGGGTACAGCCAGCCAAAGCTATGTGCAATGTGCTGAAAAGTCATATTGTATTGTACACCTTAACAATGTGCCAGCATTACCTTAACCTGCCATTTTTAAATGAACTTTTTTTTTAATGGGGGGGCAGGGCTAGCATTTTCCTTTTGTGTCTCTTATGTCACCTCTTCAGAATCTAGTCTCCAAGAACGTGCTTTAATCATGCATTATTACATCACCTTACTTTATGTGCATAATAAGCATTTGCCGTGATAGCTATTTATGTTTACTATTTGCTCTTCTCCATTAACATGTAGACTCCACACGGGCAGGTCTCAGCATGCTAATTTAACATTGCAGCCCAGCACTAGAATGGGCCTCATATACAGTAGACACTGGCAATATATGTTCATTGATTACAAAAGCCAAGAACAGCTACTCTGCTCTTCTATCAGTGCTCCAAGAGCATACACATATACATATTTATTAATGAATCCCAAGGTACACCCCCATCATCTATGAAGCAGTTTACTACCTCCAAAAGTCACCCCAAATCTCCTTCAACTTGGGATGGTGCAAACAGCAGCTAATTCTAAGACCCAGACTGGTTTTGCTGAAATACTGCCAAGTCTGTTAGTGGATATATCATTGATGGACCCCCACTGCATTACAATAGCACAACTGAACAGCTCAGACTCTCGCCCATAAGCTCTAAGAACATTCATATCTAGCGTCACAAAACAAGAATGCAAATCTCTGAGCTAAATGCAATCACTATTTTACAGGAAGTATAAGAAAAAAAAACAACTAAATTGTATCACAGAAATGTGATCAACAAAATCCAAACACAGATTTTAAACCTATGCAGTCTGATAATGACTAACAGGAAGCTGCTGAATACTTTATATGTGACTAGCGTAACCTGTTACATAAAATAAGCTTTTGGTGCTGTTGTCATATCATAGCATGCTAATCCTCCACCTGCAACATCAATATCCCATATTAGTACCAGTTTAGGTCCCAGCTGCTCCACTTCCCATCCAGCTCCCTGCTGGTAATCTGGGAATGCAGTAGGGGATAGCCCATGTCCTTGGAACTCTACACCCACGTGGGAGACCTAGAAGAATCTCTTGGCTCCTGGCTTTAGCCTGACCCAGTCCTAGCTGTTGCAGCCATTTGTGGAGTGAACCAGCTAGCTAGCTTGCTTGCTCGCTCACTCTCCTTCTCTCTGTAAATCTGCTTTTCAAAGAAATAAAGCTTTAAAAGGGGGGAGAGGGGACCTAATGTGGTAGCCTAGCAGCTAAAGTCCTTACCTTGCAAATGCCAGGATCCCATGTAACGAATGGTTTGTGTTCTGGCAGCCCCACTTCCCATCCTGCTTGCTATTTGTGGCCTGGGAAAGCAGTCGAGGATGGCCCAAGGCCTTCAGACCCTGCACCCGCATGGGAGACCTGGAAGAAGCTCCTGGCTCCTGGCTTCGGATCGGCTCAGCACTGGCTGTTGCAACTACTTTGGGAATGAATCAATGGATGGAAGATCTTCCTGTCTGTCTCTCCTCTCTGTATATTTGACTTTCTGATGGAAATAAACCTTTTTTTAATAAATAAATCTTTTAAAAAAAGGTAAGATTGTACAAGTTCAAGGTTAACTATTTCACCTGTTTCTTTGGGAAAAAAAATTATTTTTATTTATGGTATAGTTACAGAAAGAACGAGAGAGAAAGATTCTTCCATTTGCTGATACATTCCCCAAATGGCTGCAACAGCAAGAGCTGAGCCAATCCAAAGCCAGAACTGCAAGGTCCTAAAGACTTGAACCAAATCTGCTGTACTCCCACGCCATTAGGCAAGGAACCAGATCAGAAGCGGAGCCCCTGGGACTTGAACCAGTACCCTTATGGGATTCCTGCACCACAGGAGGAGGTTTAGCCTACTTACCACAGCACTGGCCCCCAGCTAGACAGTAGACAGTGGATATTTACACTGCCAGTTAAGGTCTGCACATCCCACAATAGAGTACCTGGGTTCAACTCTCAGCTTTAAGCTCCTGACTTCAGGTTCCCGCTAATGCAGATCTAAGGAAGCAATGGTGACAGCCTTAGTAACTGGATCCCTTGTCACCCACATGAGAGTCCTGGATTGAATTCTTGGCTCTTGGCTGAGCCTGGCCACTTCCAGATATAAGCATCAGGGAGTGAACCAGCAGACAGAAGCTTTCTCTCTCAAATAAATAAGAATTTTAGCAAAGAGATTTGGAAAGGAATATTTCTGGAGTAACAGATGTCACAGTGCTATATCCTTTCACAGAGGATAGTTACATTAAGCTATAATAATAATTAAGACAAACAGTTATATTCTTTTCTGCTTATTAAAGCATCATTTTGAAAGTAATTTGTAGATTTAGAAGATGAAAATGAGATTCATCAACATGCCCTGATGTTCTGTCTTGTACACAAGAAATGAGCCTAGCACGTACATGAGGCCAACCAAAAACCCAAAGGACTCTTCTTCTGCAACAGGAACTCTGGGGACTTCTAAGCAGCACCTTGCACCAGCACAGCCTAGCTATGAAAGGGATGAACTCTGAAACCAAACTGCCTGGATTCAAATTCTGAATCCACCATGTACAATCTTGAGCAAGTTAGTAACAGAGGCTGTTTTGAGAACTAAATACTTAACATATGTTAAAGTCACTTAAAACAGAGGCTAAGAAACATCATATTAAGTGTAAAGAGGGCTCTTACGACTGAACCACCATCCTGGTCTCAGTGTCACAATGCCTGTTGACTCAGTGCTGCCTTAAATCCCCTAGGTCTAGGTCCCCTTGAATACCTGGTTACCCAGCACTACTGTAACTTCTTAGGCCGCAACCCCCTTAGGGCCCACTTGCCTAATTAAGTTTAGTGACCTTCAGGTTTAAACCGTGTGCTTCACTAAACCACTAAGGCATTTATTCCTGGTGTCCACCTTCAGCCACATCTGCCAATCCCAGACCCCACACTTCCAATCCCCTCTACCCTGAGGTCATTCTCTCTCGGCTCTGCTCTCACTCCCTACCTGCCCCAGGCTACCTTCCTTGCTCAAATAAAGGCCTCTCTGTGGCTTGCTTGCTGTGCTGACATTTTGGGTTTGTGGAAAAAAGTTAACATTAAGTACTTCACATAGGTATCTGCTAATTTTATTATTATTTCTACAGCAAAGAGATCTAGACCCTTGGGTTTAAAATTGCTAGTGGGGTAGGCATTGTGACCTAAGCTCACTTCACCACATCCCACACGGACCTCCACATCCTATATCTGAGTGCATGTTCAAGTACCAGCTCCTTTGTTTCCAATCCAGCTTCCAGCTAATGCAACCAGAGCCCAAGGTGTTATGTGTGGGCCAGACTGAGGCCAGAAGTACACAACTACTGTGGCCACTTGGGGAGTAAAGCAGAAGATGAAAGAAAGAGCTTTCTCTCTGCCTTCCTCTCTCATTTTGCATTTCAAGTAAATGAAAATAAACATTAAGAAATATGAACATGTTGGGCTCGACGTCATGGCCTAGCGGCTAAAGAAGTACGAACATGCATTAACATACTGGCACAAAGAAGTCTTTCTAGCACATTCTAAGCCCACTTCTCTGCAAGTCACACATTCTGGGTAACACTGTTAACGTTACAGCACAGCCTACAATTCCCTATAATGTGTCAGGAAATGGCTCTGGCCATTCTTCTTCATTATGGCTCCCTTTTCCTCCTCTTGCACCCCTCTTTTTAACAGCCAGTAATAATAGAGAAAAATTATGTTCTAGGTAAGAAATAAACCTAAACACTAAGAAAAGATATTCTGCATTATTTTGTTTTATCCTAGTTAGAAGTATTATTTTGCAAAACAAATCCTAATGTGAGAACCAAAACTCCAAAGAAATGCTCACCTTGTGAGGAGAGCAGCAAGCTGCGTCTCTAATACTAACCCACCTGTTCATCTGAAGCTAGAGTAGTGAACAATGGAACAATTTCACTTTTCACACTGTCTAATTCCAAAACTTTCGCAAATTCCCCCAATTTGGAAGCAGCAGCACGCCGTACCATAGGGGTATCATCTGAGCACAAGGAACGGAAATGCCTGCAACAAAAGACAGGGAAGGTGTTTCCTGTCAAATAACTATTGATTAGCCATGATCCAACACAAGCAGTTTAGAGAGTTTCTCTTATGATCATCAGTGATTAGGCTTCTCCTCCTAGAGGTAATAAGAACAAAACATTTATTTAACTGGATGATAACAATCTCCCTAATTCTTTTACTATCCCATATCTACCATTTGTGGATAATGGGATACTGTGTAAATAGTCTAGTTTTATTTCCCAATAACTTCCAATATTTACCAAAACAGAAAAACTCTCTTACTGTCTAATCTCAGCCTTGATAGCATGTGAAGCCCTGGGATAGCAAACGCTGAACAGACCACATGCAGATGTGCGAGAGGTGAACCAGTCCCCACTTGCTAGGCGTTTCACCAGCGGGACAAAATGAGCTTCCAGAGCAAGTGGAGTGTGCTCCTGGGAGATCTGCCTCAGGGACTCCACCGCCTTGTCGCGAACAACAGTCTCTTCCACAGTTGCCAGACTTTCCAAGGGAGGCTGAGGAGACCAAAAAAGGAAAACCAGAAGCTTAGCAGATCAGGTTTAATACAATTATTGCCTTTTCAAGTGATTGAGGGAAGTGGTGCATGTACCCAGAATGTTAGCTACATTATACCAAATGGTTACTTTCAGTTCACACAGTGATAGCATATGGTGTGGCCAACCTCAAGACACGACTTCTGTAGAAAAGCCAAGATCTCATGTCCCAGATGGCAATTCCCAGATGGTGTCTACAAATGACACAGTGGAATATACTTGACATAGTATTAATATTATTGTGAGCTGAATCACTATATTTAAAAGACATGTAGCCAAACTCAGACAGGATCCTGTGTATTTAAGAGTATGGCCAACTTTGGCCAACACAATTACATATGACATTCTATCTGGTCGTTGAGTGACATATCAGCTTTTTGAGTATCACACCACTCCCAGAGGTGCAAACAACTCTTGGCCATCAGCTCCACATCATCAATCTACCTGATCAATAGAAGGCTTCACACAACTTCCCTTTCTTCAGAACACATCCTCTTTCCATGATTCCGAAGGGTAATCAAGTGATGTGTACAGACAGGAGGGAAATCTTGGCTGCAGCTTCAGAAACAGAAGAGATCAAAGAGGCAGACTATCTAGGCTACGCTGAGTTACTGAGTATGACCTGGCTCAAACAAAAGTGCCATCGGGTTTGCTCTCTGGGTTTGCATGTTACGCAAGCAGATTAAGCCGTTGCCATGAGCTGCACATATTAAAGCACAAAACACACATTTAGAAAGGCCAGCAGAATTTCAGGAATGAACCAGCAGATGGAGGACCTTTCTGTCTTTCCTTCTCTCTAAAAACCTGATCTGCCTTTCCCATACAAATAAATAAACCTCTAAAATAATAATAGCAACAATAATAATAAGACCAGCAAAGTCAGACTCCAAGAAAGTATGGTTTGTCTAATAAGCTTCAAAATTTGTTGATACATAGAGGTAAGACAGCTCAGCTTTCCTAAGGAAGCTTATTGAAAAGACACTGTTTTTTTCTTCATTTATTTGGAAGGCAGAGAGAGAGAGAGAGAGAGAAAGAGATTAACTCTTGGGCTCAGCGCAATAGCCTAGTGGCTAAAGTCTTTGCCTTGTATGCACCAGGATCGATCCTGTATGGGTGCCAGTTCATGTCTTGGCTGATCCACTTCCCATCCAGCTCCCTGTCTGAGGCCTGGGAAAGCAATCGAGGATGGCCCAAAGCTTTGGGACCCTGCTCTGGCATGGGAGGTTCAGAAGAAACTCCTTGCCTGATTGGCTCAACGCCGGCTGGTGCAGTCACTTTGGGAGTAAACTAGCAAATGGAAGATCTTTCTGTATCTCCCCCTCTCTCTGTAAATCTGCCTTTCCAATAAAAATAAAAATAAATTCAAAGAGAGAGAGAGAACTCATTCACCAGTTCATTCTCCAAATGCCCACCCACAACAGACATAAGCTAAGAGCTCCACTGCTTGAGCCTTTACCCATTGCCTCTAACCATGCATGTTCATTGCCAGGAAGTTGAAATCATGAGCAGTGCCAGCACTCCAGCCCATGCCCTGAATGCAGGATATAGGCATCCTAAGCAGCTGCTTAATTGTTAGGCCAAATGCCTCAGATACTGTTTCTTACTTATGAAGGACTTTCATCATCTGTCCTCTGCCTCTTTTGACCTTCTCTCACGCCAGAAGCACCGGATAATCTCTATCACTGCTTTCAGTCCAGCCAGCCTCCTAAGAATCACTTACAAACTCTCTTGATTTTAAATTGGCCCACTTGCCCATATCCTCTTCCAAGCAGCCCTTAATGAGCACTCTTCCTACTCCATCCCAATACTTCATATACCAGCAGCCTTGAACCACAACAAATACATGCTTCTAAGCCTCTGAAATTCATTCTCTCAGTAGATAATGTTTCATTCTACCACTGAAGATAAAGAATCAACAGGGTCCTTGCTGTAATGGGGGAAGATAACAATCAATGAAGACAGCAACTAGATGGTGATGAGCTATCTGCAGGAAAACAGGGTAGGATGAAATGAAAAGGGGTGACTGGGAGGCTATTCCATGACGGTGGTCAGGGAAGACCTCTCAGAGATGAGTGGGAGTTGAGATCTAAATGACAACATACCAAAACAGCATGTCATTTAAGGAAATGCCTAGAGCAAACGTCTCTTTAAGAAATAGGAAGCTTGGAGTATTCAGAGAACAGAAAGAAGACCAATATAACTAAAAGGAAGTTATCACGATTAGCATAAGTAGAAGCATGCAGAGACAAGTCAGAAAGTTCTTAGAAGTTAAAATATGTAGGTTATAGATTTTCTAAGAGCCATGGCAGAAAGCAACTGAATACATACGGCTTTTGCACCAGTCATCCTGAACCCAAAAATGAGTTGAACCAAGGCCATCTATAGCTAGAAACGTAATAATTTAGAGACTAATGGTCTGGAATGGGGCTTAAGAGTAAGGAGACAGCCAAGATTCAAAATATCTAGAGAGGCACAGGAGTTACTAAGGGGTTAGATGTGGAAATGAGTGAGCAAAGTCTAGTCCATGCACCATAGTCATTTCTTTAAGACGCATTTATTTTCATTGGAAAGGCAGATTTACAGAGAGAAGGAAAGACAAAGAGAAAGATTTTCCATCCACTGGTTCATTCCCCAAATGGCTGTAACAGCTTGGAGTTAAACCAAAGCAAAACTAGGAGCCAGGGATTTCTTCCAGGTCTCCCACATGGGTGCAGGCTCCCAAGGCTTTGTGACATCCTCCGCTGCTTTTCCAGGCAAGCAGGGAGCTGGAGGAGAAGTAGAACAGCCAGTAGGTAAAGCAGCGCCCATATGGATGTCACTGCTTGGAGGTAAAGGATTAGCCAATTGAACCATTGTGTAGGTCCCCTAAGATTTTTTTTTTTAAAGATTTATTTATTTATTGGAAAGTCAGATATACAGAGAGGAGAAGAGACAGAGAGGAAGATGTTCCATCTGATGATTCACTCCCCAAGTGAGCACAATGGCCAACGCTATGCTGATCCAGAGCCAGGAGCCAGGAACTTCTTCCGTGTATCCCACGCGGGTGCAGGGTCCCAAAGCTTTGGGCCGTCCTCGATTGCTTTCCCAGGCCACAAGCAGGGAGCTGGATGGGAAGTGGAGCTGCCGGGACTAGAACTGGCGCCCATATGGGATCCCAGCGCGTTCAAGGCCAGGACCTTAGCCGCTAGGCCACGCCACTGGGCCCAAAATTTTTTTTTAAACAAATTAATTTTTAATTATTTGAAAGGCAGAGTTTCAGAGAGCAGAAGAAAGACAAAATCTCCCATCAGCTGGTCCACCATTCTCCCAGCAGGTGCAAATGGTCAGGGCTGGGCCAAAAGGAAATCCTGGGTCTCCAGACCAGTCACCCACATTTGTGACAAGAAACCAAGGACTTTGGCTTTCATTCTCTGCTTTGCCAGGTACATCAACAAGGAGCTAGATCCATAGTAGTAGCCAGGACTTGAACCAGCACTCCATCTTATAGAATATCTTTGTCAGAACTGATGTTTTAACCCACTGCCATATACGCTGTCCAACCCTATTCTAACCCAATCATTTCTCTTTTTTTTAAGATTTATTTATTTTTATTACAAAATATACAAGAGGAGGAGAGACAGAGAGGAAGATCTTCCGTCCACTGATTCACTCCCCAAGTGAGCTCAACAGCCAGTGCTGTACCGATCCAGAGCCAGGAGCCAGGAACTTCTTCCAGGTCTCCCATACAGGTACAGGGTCCCAAAGCTTTGGGCCATCCTCGACTGCTTTCCCAGGCCAGAAGCAGGGAGCTGGATGGGAAGTGGAGTTGCTGGGACTAGAACTGGCGCCCATATGGGATCCTGGCATGTTCAAGGCAAGGACTTTAGCTGCTGGGCCATGCCGCCGAGCCCCAACCTAATCATTTCTAAGGCCTAATTAAGACACCATCTCTTAAGATGTTACCCCTGATGGACCTGGCGAGATAGCGTAGTGGTTAAAGTCCTCGCTTTGCACGCACCGGAATCCCATATGGGTGCTGGTTCTAAACCCAGTGGCCCCACTTCCCGTCCAGCTCCCTGCTTGTGGCCTGGGAATGCAGTCGAGGACGGCCCAAAGCCTTGGGACCCCAAAGCCGCGTGGAAGACCCAGAAGAGCTCCTGGCTCCTGGCTTCAGATTGGCTCAGCTCCAGCCGTTGCAGGAGCTTGGGGAATGAATCATCGGACAGAAGATCTTCCTCTCAGTCTCTCCTTCTCTCTGTAAATCTGACTTTCCAATAAAAATAAATAAATCTTTAAAAAAAAAAAAAGTTAGCCCTGATCACCCTGATTAATTTCTTTCTCCTGTCTAACATTTTGACAATTTATATGTGCTTATATTACCCCATTTAAGATTACTCTGGGCTTGGCACACTTAGCCTAGTGGCTAAAATCCTCACGTTGCATGCGCCAGGATCCCATATGGGTGATTGTTCATGTCCTGGCAGCCCACTTCCAATCCAGCTCTCTGCTTGTGGCCTGGGAAAGCATCAGAGGCTACCCCAAAGCCTCGGGAGCCTGCACTTACATGGGAGACCCCGAGGAAGCTCCTGGCTCCTGGCTTCTGACTTCAGATTGGCTCAGCTCCATCCATTGCAGCAGCTTGGGGAATTTATCAGCAGACAGAAGATCTTCCTCTCTGTCTCTCCTCCTCTCTATATATCTGATTTTTCCAATAAAAATAAAAGCAAATTTTAAAATAGACTGTACCCTAGTATCTGTTAAGTAAAAACAAAGATCTCAGCACCTACACTGACCGTACCATAATAGGCTAAGCCTCCGCCTGTGGCAACAGCATCCCATATAAGCACCGGTTCAAGTCCCGGCTGCTCCACTTCCCATTCAACTCCCTGCTGATTGTCTGGGAAAGCATAAGAGGATGGCTCAAGTTCTTGGGTCCCTTCACCTGAATGGAAGACCTGGAAGAAGCTCCTACTTCTGGTTTTAGATTGGCCCAGCTGTGGCCATAGTAGCTATTTGGGGAGTAAACCAGCAGATTAAAGATCTGTTTTTCCTTCTCATTCTGTAACTGTGCTTTTCAAATGAAAACAAACAAACAATAAAACAAAAACTTCATTCTATTTGCATAGCCTTCTTTAACATTAACATTATAACTTACAATATGCCTAATATAGCAGGCTTCAATAAACGTCAACTGATTGAAGTCACAGAGTAACTCAGAAGCAAAAATTACACTACTACGACAAAACACTGCTGAGTAAGAAAAGACTTTCAATTTTTGCAGGAGGGGGGAGACCACTAAAACAATCAAACCATTCTTCTCTTTACAATCTACATTAATAAGTCTACAGAAGCAGACAAAAATTTCTTCCATTCATAGAAAAAATTAAGACAGGACTGAGTCCAAAGTGCTTTCATTATATCATTTCAATGGTAACATTATGCACATGGACCCATAAAAAGATCTGAGTGAGACAAAGCTGCAGTATGACTATCTCAAACAATGTATCAGTTATACTGCAAAAGTTCTGGTAGGGGAGAAGGCAGCGTACAATACTCACCAGCAGACAGTGGGCAAAGTCAGGCCCCCCCACCAGGCCGGTGAAATTCCCCAGCTGCTCAGCCAGAGCTAACAGCACCTCATCTTCATCATAAATTGTATCTGGAAATGACAACAACCAGGTACTCATCAAGAAGGACACTCATATAAAACCAGCAATAGTTTCAATAAGAAAACCAGATTCCAATCCCAGCAGCATTTTCTTCCTTATTGGTGAACTGTCCTGGATCTGATCTACAGAGTAAAGCAGAAATTCACAGCTTCATATCAATGACTTTCCTATTAGCTAAACAGTGTTTGCATAGATCTTGCCACGACATTACCATATTTGTTGTTCTATTTATTTTGCACAAAAAAGGACCAGGCTCAAATTAATACTTCACAACACTGTGAGAGACAAATTCAGAAAAAGTGCCAAAAACCTGAAAGTCACAGGAAAACGGAAACAGACTCACACACCTGTAAGGAATGGCAGCAGTTCAGTTCTTGTCCTCTCTACCCCAAGTGCTAGAGCAATTGTTGATAACTTCTTAATACTGTTGAGTCGGAGCTTTAAACAACACAGTTGGGGAAACAAAAAACACGGTTAAAAATGGTGGCTGCAATGGGCCCCAAAGACAATAGGTGCACACAAGGTAAAATAACCACACACGGAGGGGGGGGGGCTCTAAAGGGTCTGGAATAAAAGCAATGAACGAATAAACGGCACCCAAAAAGACACAACTCTGGCAGCAGCTAAGCAGGTGAGACGGTTGAACACAGGTTACAGCAAGGCACACACCGCCTCACTCAGGTTCCCTCAGCCACGCCACCGGCCTTCAACCCAACAGGCTCAGCCAGTTTCCAGGGCTGGGGGAAGAGGCTGGGCTGCACCTCAAAGGGCCCCGGGCACCCTCCGACCCGCAGGGCGCCCAGCTCCCGAGGATCCGCAGAGGGACGCCCAGGCGGGAAGCCGGTGCTCGGGCAACCGCCTGGGTGCTGTCAGAAGCCGGAGGAGCAGGGGCTCCGGAGAGGCCCCAGCAGGGTCGGGCTCCTTGCCACAGCCCCGCCACTGTCTTTCCAGCCTCCCCTGCAAGTTTCGGCTCTTCCAACACCCCCATTCCGGCCTCCCTCACCGAGGTGCCGGGTTTCCCCCTCTTCTTCCCTATCGCACAAGTCCCTGGGGCCACCAAGGGTCCTCCCAATAATCCAGTACCTGCACGTCCTCATTGCGGAGTTCATCGATTAAAACTGCGATGGGATAGAGCGAATCGTCTCCATCTCCGCCCGCAGCCCCCGGGCCGGTCCCGGGCCCTGCCGCACCCGCCATGTTCTTTCTCCTCCGGATGGTCGTCCCGGCTGCCAGGCCCCGCCCCTTGTCCAGCCCCCGCCCCCTACCCAGGCCCCTCCCCACTGCCAGCCCCCGCCCCCTGTCCAGGCCCCGCCCCGCTGCCAGCCCCCGTCCCTTCTCCAGGCCCCGCCCCACTGCCAGCCCCCGCCCTGCACCCGGGCCCCGCCCCCTGCCCAGGCCCCTCCCCGCGCCCCTGCAGGCTGGGCTGAGGCCTCCTGGCCAGCTCTGTGGAGATGAGGGAACCGAGCCTCTGCTCTGCTGGTGTGGGCTCCCGCCCGACCTCCAGTGTAGAAGGCGTAGGTCCGAACTCCAGAAGAAAGGTGGGGTGTGAAAACGAACGGAAACCCCGTGCCCTTTCCCCAGCCGCAACAGACAGGGGCAGGAACTCATCCCGTGGGTGTAGGGGAGCCAGGTGCCTCCGTGAGCGACCAGTGCCTTGTGCTCCTGGAGGACTCTGGCCAGCCAAAAAGGGTGCCCGAGGTCAGGAGGAAGCAAGCTTTAGCGCCTCCCCTGCCTGCATCCTGGCCCAGAGCCACCGGGTCTCCAGCCTTCATCCCTCAACGGAACCCGGCCACCTCTTCCTTGAGCCTGCTAGCCAGAGCTGTATCTGGCTGCTACCCTGGAAGACAAATAACGCGGGCGGAGAGAGAAAATGAACAGTGCTGTCCAAACTCCCCAGTCAATATTTTTTCCACGCAAGCTGTTAAAAACATGCTGCTCTCTTGTTTTTGTGTTTCTTTTCAGTTTGGTACTGGAATGGTGCCTTCTGTTGTATTTTCTTCCTCTCATTTTTTAGCTCTTTAGCATGCAAAGAAGTACAACAATCTAGCCAAAAACTAGGACAAGCGTTAATGCTTGCAAACTGGGGGGGTGGAGGGTGGCTCCTTAGCTATTAGCAGAGGGGCCGGCCTGGCCTCCCCACACGTCCAGGTGTTCTCAAAACCAGCAGTGGGATAAAGTGAAGGCCTTTCTCTGTAAAGTGGAAGGGATGGTTTTCATTTCCCCTAGCATAGAAAAGCTAGCATATACTGTCTTTCTCTGTGCTTGGTAACACCTATGATGACCACAAGCTCTGATCATTCTGCATGTGTCTTGTTAATACCAAGGTAAGCTTATTAACAGACACACTTTAGAAGGCAAGGCTTTAACTAAAAAATATAGGACTCCCAAGAGTAAATTCTGTGAGTTTAGCTTCTGATAGTATTGGAAGCTGGGGACCAACCAGACCTGACCAAATTTCTCCAATTAGGTCTGTAGATTCATTTCTCTAATTTTATTTTCATTTTTACTTTTATTTTAGATTTGCATAATTATACACTGTACTGTTTGTAAATCGTCAGTGCTGTGTGATTTCAGTGACCTGTGTGTCTCGATGCTGTTTTGACTGCTGTGGGATGACGAGAGCAGAACAGATGACTGTGAAAGGTAAATGCTGCTTTCATGCACAAAATGAAAGCCCAGTGGTACCAGAGGACAGCTCTGTTGTCTCCACATGGCAAAGTGGTGAGAAAAACAAAGACATCATGCGTCACTCCATGTCAAAGGCATGCCAGGTCCAGAAGCTGAGCATTCACAGGCAATACCACAGTCACAACAAGTTTTTTTTGTTTTTGTTTTTGTTTTTAGCAAAATTTAGCATTTGTCACATTACATTACTATAATGTTAATTTGAATATTATTAGCTTTGTGATCTCATTTACATTTCCTTTGTAAGGTTGTTTTGGCTTGTTAAGCTAAGCACTACAAGTAAAATAAAATTCTATAATATATCTATGGGTGTAAGTAACATAGGAACAAAAATAAATTGAATGAAAGTTTTGGGGATTTTTTTTCTTTTAAAATAAATCCAGGGAGCTGGCTTTGTGGCAGGTAAAGCGGCTAACTGTGATGCTGGCATCTCATGTGGGCACCATGGAATCCCAGCTGCTCCACTTCTGATCCAGCTTCCTGCTAATGGCCTGGGAAAGCAGTCGAGGATAGCCCAGGTGCGTGGGACCCTGCCCGCACATGGGAGACCTAGATGAAGATCTTGGCTCCTGGCTCAGTTCTGGCTGTTGTGACCACGGTGCAGCCATCAGGGAGTGAACCATGGCACAGGAGAGTTTGCTCACTCTGTCTTTCCCTCTTTCAGATAAATAAATAAATACAAATCTTTGGGTCAAAAAAGAAAAAACTGAATCATCCTCATGGAGTCCTAGCCCAGCTTGAGGGACACAAGGTTAAAAGCTTTCTGATGTAGTGCTTTATCAGTTAGGCAATCAGAAGGGATTTTTATTGGTATGGAGAAATCTGTTCTTTTCTATATTGAAAAAGACTTCAAAAATTATAAAGGAAGTGTACAGAGAAGCAGATGAAATCAATTCCAGCATATTAACAGCTAGGTATCAGTTAAGAATGGAAGAATCTAATATGCTGACAAAAACCGGCACATGGACGTTAAAGTGTTTTGTTTAAGACACAAATGTGCTTTCCTTACCCAAGCACAGTGAATGGGAGATCTGTGGAATACCTATGATTAAAACTGAAATCACAAGCTGAGAAAATTACCTGGTTTAGGAGTCATCAGTTGTGGACTTCAAATCCCACCTCTGTCTGACTCATCATGCTATATCTCTCCCTCTGCCTCCATCCCACCTTCCACCCCCTCACTCCCAATAAAATGCAAGTAGCCACTTCTAATTCCTAGTTCTGGTTACAGTGGTGCTGGGAAAATAAAACAGGTAATAAACATGGAGATGCTAATAAATTCTTCAATAAGGAAAATTATTAAACCAGACTCCAGCACAAAGTGGTTATTTCAAAAACTGGGCCAAATACTAAAGCAGTCTTTTGGGAAGTATGGTCCACTGACCATCTGACACATGAAAGAGGACTGTTTAAAATGCAGATTCTTGGCCTCCAGCATCCCACACCTACTGAATTACTAAGAATGAAGCTAGACATTGCCGTGTTCCCCAGTGATTCTAATGTGCACTGACTTTTATAGTCATTGATTTAAAAAGTTCATCTGGGAAAATAATTTCACTATCGGTAAACAAGCATCTGCTCAAGCAAGAGTCTGGAAGCTCTTTGGAGACCATCTCTGTTTAGAAAAAGTGACAGCCCCAACTGCCAATCAAGAGGCAGTTCCACCCCATCAGCTGTGGTTTTGCCAGGTTAAAAAGATGATCCCTCTTTGGCTGGCGCTGTGGAAGTTAGCCAAACACCACTACTACAGTACTGTGCCACAGAGCTGTTGGCATATCCTCCTCTCTATTGCTCCATCTGGACCCTTCCACTTACCATGTACATCTCATGAGAAACTAGTGACCACGGAGCATCAGAGCCAACAGCTCACACTAGGTTGAGGATTAGAAGCAGCCTGTAGCAAACAGTGTGACGTGCTTAGCACATAAGCACCGAGTTCTGACACTGACAAACAACCAGCACCAACAAAAAAAACTTGATTCACTAAGTCCCAAGTGAATCAAGGGAAGACAGGGTTAGACTTGCTCAGTACCTATATGACACAGATTAGGAGGAAGCATGCACTTACACATACAGATGGAGTCAGCCATCATCAATTCTTGTGTGGATAGCAGCCTCCAACAACAGCAAAGGGTGAGTCCTGCAGACATCACAATGACATCAGTATCTCAGTATCGTCCTCCCCAATCCCCAGCTTCGTGTTTACCACCCCTGTGTCTTTAGACATCAACACTCCTTCAAATGCTGACCTGCTCAACAACCTCGCCATTGGCAGAGAAGGCCAAGTGCAGGAGGTCCAGAGACCCAGGCTGTTCCCCTCTGCCACAGGGCTGCCACAGGACTGGTAGACAACCCAAAGTCAATATACCTGGGGCATACAGGTGCATGTCCCACTACCGTGGTTCTTCAGCATCGCTGAAGGGGGATTGCTTCTAGGAGACCACTAGATAGCAAAATTTGCCCATGCTCACCTCCTCCCTCACATGAAACAGCACAGTGTTTACCAGTTCGTAGAGCCTCTTGCACATGCACATCCTGCCTTATGCCTTAAATCACCTCTAGGTTACTTATAAACTCTAACACAATGTAAATCCTAGGTACAGAGTTGTCCTACTAAACTGTTTGGGGAATAAGTTCAAGAAGTAAAGTCTGGGGCCTGGTACAGTAGCCTAGTGGCTAAAGTCCTCACCTAGTATGCACCAGGTACCATATGGGCACGGGTTCATATCCAAGCTGCACCACTTCCAATCCAGCTCCCTGCTTCTGGCCTGGGAAAGCATCAGAGGATGGTCCAAGGCCTTAGGACCCTATACCTGCGTGGGAGACTCAGAGGAAGCTCCAGGCTCCTGGCTGTGGATCAGCTCAGCTCTGGCCATTGTGGCCACTTGGGGAGTGAACCAGCAGATGGAAGATCTTCCTCTTTGTCTTTCCTTCTTTCTGTCAAAAAATAAAAAGGAAGAAAAAAATCTGACTTTCCAATAACAATAAATGAATCTTAAAATAGTAAAGTCTATACAAGTTAAGCATGGGTGCATCTGCTGAGTCTGCAGATGCAGACCCTGTGGATCCTAAAGGCCTTGCATATCCTCCTTTAGTAAGGTGGCCAGGGTAAACTGGCTACTGGGTCTGTACCTTGATTCATTAGAGTAGTAACAATCACCACATCACAGCATGAGTAACATCAGAAACTGATACTTAGGCAAAGAACATTATCCTTGTGTGGCAGTGAAATATTCACCCTTTAATATCTCCACCTTTCTTTGTAGTAAAATTTTAAACCCATTAATATGGACTGGAATACTTTTGACAAAAAACAAACGACTTTACCTGAAGTCTGCACAGTGCATCAGAAACAGCTATGGAGCACATCATAAAGGACATGGCAACCACCTGCTTGTTCCCCTACCCCTATTTCACAGCTTATCACTGTGTATACAAAAACAAAGCAAAGCAAAACAAAACAAAACAAAACAAACCTCGAGGGTCTTTTTGAAAAGGGGAAAATCTGAATTACTGGAACAGAAAGATGGGATGGTCACTTCTAGCTTAGAATG